CTCTAAATGTAACCAGGATTACATTATGTTTTAAGATTCACTGGCTGGTTTGTTATTTTTAAGATGGATAACACAATCTGCACCGTAATCAGCGAGTCATTTATAAACCTAGTTTAATATGTCTTCTGCAAGGTAAGAAACAGCTACGTGTTGGTGGTTGGTACTGAATGTCCTGTGGCAGATGGCTCTTTCTATGCCTAATCATAAGTGCAAAAGTAGAGCATAGTGAGGAAGCATAATGACTGGTAACCTGCAAGTTAGAACTTAATGCTATTTTGAACTCTGCTCTGCTGTGCTTTTTCATTATACTGAAATACATAAAAGGCTATTATTTACAGTTTCAATCCCCTCCAAACCTTGTCTGTATTTATTCCATCCACATGTATAGTATCTTGCCATTCAGATAATGTCAGTGCTGGACTTCATCTATTATTTTAAAACGGAATCCTTATCAGTAACTGAGAATGAATTTATATTATGTTATTATTATTAGGGTATTTTTTTTGATAATCAAGTGATGCCCTAGTTTACTCATTTTTGGCTAAAATACTAGTCTTATTATTAAATGCCCTAATCAATCATATATAGTCATTCACAGACATAACTAGACTCCTGTTGCACAATAGAATGGAATAGAAATAGCCTTTATTGTCCCTAAGTGGGAAAATTCAGTTGGCTTGGAGGATTAGTGCAATTGGCTTGTGCCAAATTTCCACTGAAACTACTTTAAAAAAAGATTTTAAAAAACAAACAAACAAAAAATAGGACAACACCCTTTCCAAATGTTTTGTGAAGTTTAAAGAGATCTCCAAGGTCAGCTCTAATTGTTATGAAAAACAAACAATGACTTACACATGCTTCTATTGTGCAAATACAGAAGAGTATGAAGATTGAACTTATAGTCTAAGCAGTCACGTTTGGTCATAAAACATCACCTCTATCCTACATAAAATAAATATCTAGGATGGCAGTAGGTGGAATTCATGCCATACAAGGCAGGCTTCGAAGTAAAAATTAAATTCACTCAAGATGACTGAAATGACAGGAAATGTGTCAGTACCACATGTGCATCAGTATAGGAGAAAAAGTTCATGCAAACCGTAAGAACAGATCAGATCCCAAAACTGCCATGTCTCACCTGGTAGATATCCTGTCTTTTCATTTGGGAGGGAAAGGAAGGAGTCAACAATAGCTGTTCTGCTCTGCAGGAGGGTGGATATCATCTCTAGGCCCTCTGGTCCCAGCAGTTCAAACAGCTGAGGGAAAATAGAGATAGAAGGGGTGTTACACTCTGTAGCCACACGCATCAAAACATGTAAACACATCCAATGGTGACCAACAACCAACACAGTGCTTCTGCCAAGGCTGAACACCTGGTAATTATCATCCGTCTGATGCAGAATATGCTCCGCTGGTTAGCCTCACAATCATGGCCACCTGGCACTTAGAGACTCACAGAAAAACAACAACAAATCCTGCACAGAGTCACAGCAATAATCTAAATACTCAGCAAAGNGATCGCATGCGCTTCTTCTCTACAAACCGTCTTACAGTCATTGGTCAAGAACACGGGAGCTAGAATTCTGATTGGCAGACATCTTTGTCTATTATCTATAGCTTAGTTGAGGCGGGCCGTTTGGTCCAATGCTCACTTTGCTTGAAAAGCCGGAAGTCTGGCCCCCAGACGGAGCTCTTTAAGCCCGGAGATTACAGTTTGGTTGAGGCGGACCATTTAGATTGGTTGAGGTGGACCGTTTGGTCAAAAGCCGGAAATCCGGCCCCCGGCCGGAGCACTTTAAGCCCTGTATTTAACAAAAAAAAAAAAAAAAAAAAAAAACACTGACTAAAATATTTTTTAATACATCAGTAACCAGCTTGCCTTGTAGCCGCGCAGTTGGTATGACCCAACAGTTTTTTTGTGTGTGTTTTTTTTCAGGGCCATAATGCTTCAAACTGAGCCATATCAAATGCCTTCTCCCCCTCCAGTCAGGCAGAGCTGCTCTGCACATCCATGAGGAGACCAGAAAAACTCCTAGTCCAAAATAAATATTCTCTGTGGTGTTTATTACAAACTCAACAGTCAAGACATGGAAAAGCTTGGCCTCTGCTAGTGCCACATTAACTAAATCATCCTGTTTATCCCTCTGTATTCCAACACAGGGATGAGCAGTGTTGAAATACAGTGTAGTTCCTCAATGAGGGCTGGTCCAATGTTGTGTGAGGTCTTGAACTCCTGCTAAGAACATCAGCATCACTAATAGGGTTTCAGTATAGATTTGATGTAACCTGGGAGAGGAGAGTGGGGGGCTAGTTTAATTGGTCAAGCTGAAAACCAATCAGTGATAAATGTAACTTGCTGAGATAAATATATCTTCACAAATATATTATTTGTTAAACAGAGCTAAAACTCAAAAATTAAACTCAGCATCAGATTGTAGCTATGGTAATAAAACAATCTATAAAGACTAAAGGTGTGCCGATCGATCGGCCACCGATTATAATCAGCCGATTTCCGTGAAAAAGTGTATGATCGGTGATCGCCGATCACGGTCTCTTGTTGCCGATCACCAAAATGATCACCTGTATCTCACTTCTCAGCCTGCATGTGCAGCTGATCTCCTTTTCCCTTCACACAGCGCAAGCGCGCGGCAACAAGTGTGTAACTATAATGCTGAGTGTGAATGGGGAAGTTTGCATGTTGTGGCGGAAAATTACCTCTGAAAATTACACAACGAATATAATATGACATTTAAAAAACAAGAACTTGACGGAGTTTGGCTACATCGAGGCTCAAAGCAAGGAAAAATTGACATCTGGAGCGGCCAGATAGCAAGTAAAGCAGTGCACAACTACTAACACCCAGATTAGCTTGATGGTCAGAAAGTTAAACAAATAACCCAAAAAATAATTTACGTTTTTGAGCTAGCGGTCAAAGACGCTGGTTCTGCTCTCGCTGTTGAATTGTTGCTATGCACTACTGGTAGTAATATTTCACATAATACATAGCGCCGTTTCTGCTCCACCCAGAAAGTCTGCTTAAAGCTGCAGCATGTAACGTAAACAACAACAACAACAAAGATTTCACATATTAAAACTTTCGCTATGTCCAAACATGAGAGATAATTTTTGAAAAAATAAAAAATAATAATAATCAATCTCCTTTCCCTCCTCCTGTGTTCTGCAGAATTACTCTGCTCAGTCAGAAACAACCAATCAGAATCAGCAGTAATCAACTAGCCATGCTATCAGGAAGGATTGATTCAGTAACCCATGATTATTTATTTTGATGCAACCTGCATTTGACTTTGAATGAATGTTTCCCTCTTTTGCTAGACATTATTTGATATCGGCAGTGTTTTGAGACTTATTTGAGTCGTGTATAATTTAGGGTACAGAGAACCTTACTGTTAAATGTTGTTTAACTGGTCGCAACATTTAACAGTTGTTCTTTTGACTGAGTAGCTGCTGTATTGTGCCTGCAAGTATGTTGCATGTTTATGTTAATTAGGTGAATTTATTAAATTGTTTTAATTTTGCCAGATCACATAGTATAATTTATAATTAACGCAAAAAATAAACAGTCAATCCAGGCGATCGGCAGAGATCAGCCTCATGGGTGATCGGTATCGGAATCGGCAGCAAAAAACCTGATTGATTGTTCTGTGCACTTTTACAAAGTAAAAATACCAGCTCCAAAATATTTTGTCTATGCTAAAACCATTAAATAAAAATTAACAGCATTGTCATTCTCAATAAACAAATGTTAAAATTCTACATCTGTGGTGTGGGTTAAAATGTTAGCATTTATAATGGTCCTTTGAAGGCCTGGGTGCTTTAGGCAGCTGTTCAGTTCAATTTATGCCTTGGGTTGGCTCTAAATGTAACCAGGATTACATTATGTTTTAAGATTCACTGGCTGGTTTGTTATTTTTAAGATGGATAACACAATCTGCACCGTAATCAGCGAGTCATTTATAAACCTAGTTTAATATGTCTTCTGCAAGGTAAGAAACAGCTACGTGTTGGTGGTTGGTACTGAATGTCCTGTGGCAGATGGCTCTTTCTATGCCTAATCATAAGTGCAAAAGTAGAGCATAGTGAGGAAGCATAATGACTGGTAACCTGCAAGTTAGAACTTAATGCTATTTTGAACTCTGCTCTGCTGTGCTTTTTCATTATACTGAAATACATAAAAGGCTATTATTTACAGTTTCAATCCCCTCCAAACCTTGTCTGTATTTATTCCATCCACATGTATAGTATCTTGCCATTCAGATAATGTCAGTGCTGGACTTCATCTATTATTTTAAAACGGAATCCTTATCAGTAACTGAGAATGAATTTATATTATGTTATTATTATTAGGGTATTTTTTTTGATAATCAAGTGATGCCCTAGTTTACTCATTTTTGGCTAAAATACTAGTCTTATTATTAAATGCCCTAATCAATCATATATAGTCATTCACAGACATAACTAGACTCCTGTTGCACAATAGAATGGAATAGAAATAGCCTTTATTGTCCCTAAGTGGGAAAATTCAGTTGGCTTGGAGGATTAGTGCAATTGGCTTGTGCCAAATTTCCACTGAAACTACTTTAAAAAAAGATTTTAAAAAACAAACAAACAAAAAATAGGACAACACCCTTTCCAAATGTTTTGTGAAGTTTAAAGAGATCTCCAAGGTCAGCTCTAATTGTTATGAAAAACAAACAATGACTTACACATGCTTCTATTGTGCAAATACAGAAGAGTATGAAGATTGAACTTATAGTCTAAGCAGTCACGTTTGGTCATAAAACATCACCTCTATCCTACATAAAATAAATATCTAGGATGGCAGTAGGTGGAATTCATGCCATACAAGGCAGGCTTCGAAGTAAAAATTAAATTCACTCAAGATGACTGAAATGACAGGAAATGTGTCAGTACCACATGTGCATCAGTATAGGAGAAAAAGTTCATGCAAACCGTAAGAACAGATCAGATCCCAAAACTGCCATGTCTCACCTGGTAGATATCCTGTCTTTTCATTTGGGAGGGAAAGGAAGGAGTCAACAATAGCTGTTCTGCTCTGCAGGAGGGTGGATATCATCTCTAGGCCCTCTGGTCCCAGCAGTTCAAACAGCTGAGGGAAAATAGAGATAGAAGGGGTGTTACACTCTGTAGCCACACGCATCAAAACATGTAAACACATCCAATGGTGACCAACAACCAACACAGTGCTTCTGCCAAGGCTGAACACCTGGTAATTATCATCCGTCTGATGCAGAATATGCTCCGCTGGTTAGCCTCACAATCATGGCCACCTGGCACTTAGAGACTCACAGAAAAACAACAACAAATCCTGCACAGAGTCACAGCAATAATCTAAATACTCAGCAAAGAAACTCAGGTAACACTTTATTAGAAGGGGTGTGCATAAGACTGACATGACACTGTCATAAACATGACATAACACTTGTCATGAACATAAAGAAGTCTTTACGAATGTTTATAACAGTTGTCATGAAGTGTCATTCGGTAAATAATGACACTTTTAATGTAAAGTTGCTCTAAAAGTTGCATTGAAAGTCCATTAAAATGCCATCTTTGCATTAAAAGTGTCATTATTCATTATTTACAAAATCATGCAAAGTTGGCACTTTTGATGCAACTTTTAGAGCAACTTTGTATTAAAAGTGTCATTATTTACCGAATGACACTTCATGACAACTGTCAAACACATTCATAAAGACTTCTTTATGTTCATGACAGGTGTTATGTCATGTTTATGACAGTGTCATGTCAGTCTTATGCACACCCCTTCAAATAAAGTGTTACTGAAACTCCGTTCATTCTACTTAAAGGACAGTTAATGTGAATGTGTATAGTTTATACCTGGAAATGTTTCCTTGTGTTACTTTCAAAACTTAGTGTTTTAGTCTTTTAATTCTAAACATGAAAATTCTAGATCAGTGTTTCTCCACCCTGGTCCTCACCGCCCCCCTGTCCTGCATGTTTTAGGTATTTCCCTTCTGCCACACCTG